TAGGTGCTTTAGACCACTGAGCCATCTCACCAGCCCCTTTCTGGTCATTCTTAACTCTGTGTAGTGTATATGTGTGTGTGTCTTTTGAGACAGGGTCTTGCTATGCAGTTCAGGCTAACCTTGAACTCACTTTGTAGCCCAGGCTGGTCTCCTTCCGTCCTAGCCTCCCAAGTGCTGCAGTTACAGGTTTGTGCTATCACATTTGACTATATGTTATTTTTTTGCAGCAAGGTCTCACAGTCAAGCTCAGGGCAAACCCCCCATGCTGGAGATTGAACCCAAAAAGAATATAAATATTTTTACTCTCTGGAAAAAAAAAAAAGATTTCACACCAAATTTAAATTACAATGAGTGGCAGGTGTTCACCTGTAATCCCAGCACAGGAAGCTGAGACCAAAGGAATGCTGCAAGTTTGAACCCAGGGCTTTGTGTGTACTAAGCAAGTGCTCTACCACTCTACTGTATACCCCACTACCACAAATTGGGGTAGATTTCACAGGTAGATTACTGAATATAGTACTCTAGACAGGATCTGGTGACATTTAAAATCTACAGACTACTACATTTTCAGTAAAATGTATTTAGAAACTGCATTAGTTTTTTGAGAACCTAGTGACTTCAGTAAGTCACCTAAATTTTTTGAGTCTTATCCAAAAAATATGGACATGTTTACCTTTCATCTATCATTCATCTTCTATCTTTATTTATTTGTAAATGTTTGAATATGATAGAGATACTTCTTAATGTAAGACTTAGGTCATAGCTGAGAGAGAGAGAGAGAGAGAGAGAGAGAGAGAGAGAGAGAGAGAGAGAGAGAATGAATTGAGGCTGGGTCTCAGTGTACTCTGTCCTTGCCTCAAACTCTTGGCAGTCCTTCTTTTTTTTTTTTTTTTTTTTTTTTTTTGGTCCTTCTGCCTCAGCCTCCCATGTGCTTCTAGGCATGTGCTACCATGGCCACACTAGTGCTTTCAGTCTTTCACATCTTAGCTCAACTGATACGTTATTTGTGCAGCTCAACCTTTGGTCAGCTACAGATTGCATGATTTTCTTCTGTGGGTTTTTTTTTTTTTGTTTTTTTTTTTTGCAGAACCAGGGAACTCAGGCCCTTGTGCTTGCCAGGGAAGCACTTATTCTACTGAGCCATCTCCCTGGCTCCATGTTCTGTGTTTTCTAATCAAAGACATGGATAAAACTCATGGAATATAGATAAATTCAAAGAGCACAGCAACATAGAATTTCCTTTACATTCACAAAATTTTAAAATCTTATCTACAAGTTTATCATGACAAACTGTCCAAAATTTGTCTTGATTTTATAGTTACCTGCTTTTCTAGTCCCTATGAAGAAGAAAAAAGTGATGTTAGGCTAGTATGAGGTCATCTTGTGGATTTATTCCTTTTCTAGCAGCTTATTTGATAATACAGTAGGACCTCAGTTCACCACTTTTGTTTGCAAACAGTTTGATCTACAGACATTTTGGTTTGCAAACAGAAGAGTTTGGCAAAATTTTGATTCTGTTTGAAGACTCTGCATGGGGTAACAGACACCACCGGCCATCTTTCTCACACAAACACAAGCCATGTTTATGAAACATGGCTTTTCCAAAATGATAGAACAAATTAAATTTGTAAATTGAGGTTCCACTTGTTTTAGAATCTTACCTGGAATGCAACAAGTTCTCTTGGCCTGTATGCTTTGTGACATCCATCTTTGTCTCATTTTAGAAAACCAAAGCCATGTTTCCTCATTGCTGATCTGGTGTTTCTTCTGTTTTGTACAGATCATTACAGATTTGAACTCCTGGTAGTTCTTAGGCTGCCCTAGGAAGAGGAAAACATCTGTTGAATAGTGTTGCCTTCCATTATCAGGGGTCTTTGATTCAGGCCTTAAAGTCTGAGAGGAAGAGACACCATACAAGTTTTGGTTTGAGAGAAGTAGTGTTGCAGTGCTTTTGTTTTCCAAATGGCATGCATATGTAAGGCCAGGGAATTTTAGAATCACAAGGGAAAATCCTTATATTTTAATTAAAAGATGCTTTCTCTCTATGCTTCAGTTTTTTAGGAAACTACACAAAATAATATGTATAAATTATTTAAAATAGTAACTGCCACAAAGTACAAACTATGTGAGTTGTTCATTGAAAGTATGTAGAAATCATAAACATTTTTGAACATTAAGATATGATGAATTAAATTCCAATTTATAAAGCATTTTTAAATTAACATTTAATTGCAATAGTTCCTTGACATGTAACTATTGTTGCTTTAGGTTCTTTATATATAAAAGGAAGATACCTCTTCATGACCACACAATAAGCTAGTTTCTGACTTCTTAACAATTACCTAGCTGTTCTGAACCTGAATTTCCTCAGGTTCAGAAAAAAAAAGTGAGGCTGTTTAGCTCACCCTTGGGCCTTTTTTAAAGATATATAATCCTGTAGCTAATGTAAACCTAAACCATGATGGAGCACAGAAATAGCTTTTTACATGATGGAGCACAGAAGCAGCTGGGATTACAGGTGTGCATCACATAAGCAGATTTTTAATTATGTGTTTGGAAGCCTCATAATTTGGAAGTGGTTAGTCATATTCCCTGCGTAGCAAACTAAGAAATTTGCTTGCAAGCAGTTATCAGTCTCTATGGGGCGGGGAGGTGGGGCGGGAAGAGGATGGAGAAAGTAGGATTGGCAAAGGGTAGTGCAAAACTATGTGTATTTGCAACAAAGTACTCTAGGGCTGTCTTGACCCTTCAGTGTTCTCATGCTGATATGAAGTGCTGAGACTATAACCTCATATGAGCCATTCATTGGATGTGCTCCTCCCCAGAAAAAAGCTATATTCCTGAGTGAGCTACTTCTCATTGGCTGAAGGCAATCCTGAAGAGAGACTCAGCTGAAAGCTCTGGTCACCATGTCTACATTTGGGGGAATGGGCCTCTCAGACTTGTGGAGGGCAGTCAGGACAGCCTGTCATAGGTATTCACCATAAGGAGTAAATCTGACTTGTGAAGAAGCATAGCTAGGGCCGATTAAAATTTAGAGTAGAGAGACATCTGAGTGCATGAGGTAAACGTAAGATTTTGCGTTAGGAATTAACTGTTCTCCATTCCATTCTCCATAGTATTATGCAGTTGCTTGGTGCATTTCCTTCACCCAGTGGTCCAGCCTCTCCTTGTAGTCTGGTGAATGAGACCACTCTTATCAAATACTCCGGGCTGCCAACCATAAACAAGCATAGTTTCCGATACTTTGTCTTGGATAACAGTGTCATCCTGGCCATGCTGGAGCAACCCCTTGGAAATGAACAGAGTAAGTTATAGTCCTTCAAGTCTTCTCTGCAGCTGAATTAGTCATTCATCATTACTGTAAGGGAAGAGTCTAAGTTTTGTATTTATCTTAGAGGATTTGGAGTTGTAGCACAAAAACATGTAAGGGATAGAAGATCAATAAATAGGAAATATGTAGTAAATAGAATGGTTTAAAGACTGTAAGTATCTGAGATATTAGACTGTGGCTCTATAGCTTTATAAAAAGTCTTAGTGGGATATTTTATGTTTACTGTGTGTAAAAATTGTCACTTTCTTCCCTCATGAACTTGGATCCTATCTCTCTGCTCCCTTGTCCATCGCTCCTCATTGTTTCAATTATTGCCACCAAGAGTAGAAATCTGAATACTCATCTTTGCTTGCTTCTCCTGTTAACTCCCTTATATAATTAATTGATTTCCAAGTTTCTACCTCCCCAGAGACTCTTGACACTTTCTGTATTCATCCCAGAACATTCAAATGCAGGAATTTGTTTCTTACCTAGATTATTATAGTTCTTTCCTACCTGGTATGATTCTGCCCTTGCCACTTCAGCATTTGTTTGCCCTTACCTCTACCCTGTTTGCCCCCATCATAGTATTAAACCTCAAATATAAATTGACCTACTAAAAACTCTTCAGTGATTTTTCCACTGACACATGTACTGTTTTCCTCCTTTCCCTACTGTGATTTACAAATTAGTTCAAGATATGTGATTGCCACTGTTCCAAGTTTTCTCTGATGATAATTGGCATCTGCCAGTTTGTAAAGAGAGAATCTTATTGCTGGGAAGGTAAAGGAATGTGAAGGCTACAGAATCTGTGCGCATAAAAGGACTAAGAGAATCGCCTCTTGTGCAGTTACCTCATTTATAAATGAAACCCAGAGCTCAGAAAGGGTGTGTGACTTGTCCATGGTAACTTGAGAAAGTGGTATGGCTAAGGCTTGAATTCAGGTTTTCTTTTTTGTTTTTTATTTTATTTATTTATTTATTTATTTATGGCAGAACCGGGGACTGAACTCAGGCCCTTGTGCTTGCCAGGGAAGCGCTTATTCCACTGAGCCATCTCCCCGGCCCCTCTTTTTTGTTTTTTAATCAGATTTTATTGGTACATTTTAGAGATATATAATGATCACATTCATCATAGAGAATTTGTACCTATACATGATATAACTTGGGTTTTTTTTTTCATTCTCCTACCCTTGCTTCAACCCTTCTTCCTCTCCCCATTTACAAAACCTTTTTTCATGTTTTCCTTTTCTCATTTTTTTATTTTACTTTTCCCTTTCCTTTCCCCCTTCCCTTTTCCCTGTTGTCTTCCCCATTTGAACATTTTCTTCCTGTTTCACAATACCTGTTACACATTTTAGTCCTCATTTACACTTTCAGTGTCTCACACCAGAGGAATAATGTAGTATTTACACATGTGTGTCTGATTTGTTTTACTTACAAGTATGGGTTCAAGGTGCATCCATTTTCCTAGACAAGTCTTGAATGTGTCCTTTATGGCAGAGTAGTACTCAACCGTATTTAACACAAAACCACATCTTCTTTATCCATTCACCAGTTGATGGGCATTTGGATTATTTCCAAGATTTGGCTGTTACTAATTGTGCTGCTGTAAACATAGGTGTGCATATATTGCTGTGATATGATGCTTTTATTTCCTTTGGGGAAGATACCCAGGAGGGGATTAGCTGGGTCCAATGGAACTGCTAGTCCTAGTTTTTTGAGGAATCTCCACACTCATTGCCACAGTGGCTGTATCAGTCTGCACTCCCACCAGCAGTGGAGAACCATTTCCTTTTCCTCACATCCCACCAGCATTTGTTATTGAACCCAGGTGGGTTTTTTTGGTTTTTTGTTTGTTTGTTTTTTGGCTGGCACTTCCCACCCTGAGGGTGGGGCTGTTGCAGCATGCGGTGCTGGGATCTAACCTCGGTTCCTGTGTGCTTGCCTAAACAGGCACTTTAGATCACTGAGCTATCTCGCTGGCCTGAACCCAGGTTTTTTATACAAAATACTGTCCGTTTCTGGTTTTGTTTCCCACAATCATAGGATTTTCTAAGTGATTAAAGACTCTTGCCTTTCCAGTGGTGAACAGAGTCGTAGAATCTCTTGCAAGTATTGCTTTCCATCAAATGAAAGTGAGATATTTCTTTAGAGTTTGGATAAAATAACACAATTCCATATTTCTATTATGTTGTAGTAGGATTTAGTGACTTTAGAATGAAATAGTTCATCTATTCCAGACGTGGCATTTACGTTGCTTTCTTTGGTCTGTGCTCATTATTTATTGCACCTTCTCAGGAATTTGCAAAAATCTTAGTGTCCCCTTTAGGTTTTTTGAACCTTTTCTAAGATTTTTAGGGTTCTTCTACTCTCAGTCTGAGTAAGTTCATTGCATAGAAAATCTATTTCAAAAATATAGATAATTGGAATTTTGTACATTCCCAAGGACAATTTAATAATTTATTAAAATGGTTAATAACAAAATATGAGAGAAATTTGTACAAGGTTAAATCTGACACCTGAGATAAAAGACGGGCTTAAAAATCTTTTCAGGGCAGAGATTTGGGTCCCTGGAGAAGTCTGTCATGAATCTTTACACTTACCACTTTGTGCTGAATTTCTTTCTGCTAGGAGGAAACAGGGCCTGCCTGGACAGAGAGTGGCACACAGAGTTGTTGGCCAGAATAATATCAGCACTGCATATAGTTTGTTCCCAGCATTGAGAGGTTAGAAGTGTTTTCTAGGATAGCCATTTCCCAAAAATGGATGTCACATACTGGAGATATGTGAGATGATGCTAGCTGAAGTTTTGGTGAACACTTACTGTGATTTTAAACACTCAAATACAAGCTAGCACATGAAAATTATGGCTTCCAATTTCTAGATTCACTATTTCCTTTGAAAATAAGTTTAAGTTAATACTGAGTGGTTAGCAAGAACTAAGATAGTAATGCTCATACTACTGTAGTTGGATATGACAGAAACCACAAAGTGGGTAGACAGGTTTGAAGTACAGGAAACACTTGGCTTAGGGCTTTGATTATATGAGCTCTGCAGTTAATAACAGGTGTATTACAAATGGTGGTTGTCTGAAATAACTTTTACAACTTTTTAAAAATTTTATTCTAGATGATTTTTTCCCCTCAGTCACTGTTCTGGTCCGGGGAATGTCTGGAAGACTTGCTTGGGCACAACAACTTTGCCTTTTACCCAGAGGAGCAAAAGCAAATCAGAAGGTATCCATCAGAAGATACAGGGAAGTGATGAGTGTGTGTGCATGTGTTTGTGTAGTTGGGCAAGTTAAAGAGTATAAGATTCAAAGTGTTGGCACATGCCTGTAATCCCAGCACTCAGGAGACTGAGGCAGGAGGATCACCAAGAGCTCAAAGGCCAGCCTGGGCTGCATAGTGAGTTTAAGACTAATATGAATTACACAACAAGGTCCTATCTTTAAAAAAAAAAAAAAAAAAGCGAAAAACAAAATAAGGTTATATAACATTCCACTAAAAGTCACAGATAAAAAAAAATATTCTCTTAGGGCTGGTGAGATGGCTCAGTGGTCTAAAGCACCTACTTAGAACAAGCTTAACAAAGCACAGGGACCACGGTTTGATCCCCAGCACCACATGCCAGCCAGCCCCGCCCCCAGGCAGGCTGAGCTGGCCACACACACACATAATAAAATTAAAAAAAAAATATTCTCTTCCTTGGGAAGGTCCTTAGTCTACATCAGAATCAACTGTGGAGCTTAAAATTCTGAGTCTACCAAATTACTCTTTAAAGTTATCTTTCTTTCTTTTTTTTTTTTTTTTTCTGGAACTGGGGATTGAACTCAGGCCCTTATGCTTGCCAGGCAAGCACTTATTCTACTGAGCTATCTCCCTGGCCCCTCTTTAAAGGTATCTTGAAGGCAGGTGTGGTTTCCAAAAGCTTTTCATGTGATTCTGACATTCATTTAGGAATAAGGACTACTATTCTGAATAGTGGTCAATGTAATTGTTAGTATAATAAAAGTCAAAAGGACTGGAGAAATAGCTCAGCAGTCTGAGTGCCTGTCTGGCAAGGAGAAGGACCCAAATTCAATCCCTGCCGTCCATGCTGGCCCAGGAACCCTGGGCACACTGAGCCAGCCACCAAGACCAGGCGTGGTGGTACACACCTGTAACCCCAGCTCTGAGGAGGCTGAGACAGGCAGATCACTGAGTCCAAGCTGTTTAGCCAGACCCTATGCCAAATAAATATATAAGTATTAAAAACATAAAAATAAAAAAATGAATCACAAAACATCTGTCATATATGGTAATACTTTGACCAAGCCTTTTGATGTTTTTAGCAACAGGTCTTACTTTCAAATTGTTTTATATACTTATTCCTGTGAAATTGGCAGTATACTATATAATTTTTAATATAGTGTGTTACTACAAATCTTTTATGACATTTGTAATTATGAGAAAATTGGAAAATTCACACAATAGGAAAATTTTAAATCGCTTGTGTTAACTCTCCACAGGGAGATAGCCAAGTTAATACTTTAGTGAATTTATTTCTTATATATATTTTTTTAATGCATAATAATATTTAAATAGGATTTAAGTGATTTGCATATAGCTTTTTTCACTTACTACATTGTAAGCTGGTATTTTTTACTAAAATTATTTTCAAATATGACAAAATTTTGGTAGCATTTAAGAGACACCTTAAATGTGGATTATGAGCAAACTCCCACATACACGTATACTTCTGTAGTTCTGGAGATTGAAGCCAGGGTCTTTTGCACTGTGCTAAACCACCAGTCCTTATTTATTGTTTGTTTGTTGTATGAGGCAGGGAGTAGCCAGGCTGGCTGTATACTTGCTACCATCCTCCTGCCTTTGTTTTTGAGCCAAAGTCTCATTAAGTTGTTGATTTGCCTAGGCTGGCCTCAAACTTGTGATGTCTCTGCCTCAGCTTCATAGAGTGCTGGAATTACAGGTATATGCCATCATACCACACTGTAAAGTCTTTTAGTAACATAGATGTCTCTGTCATGTGAGCTGTCTTTTATCCCCTGAGTATACCTTGATTGTATTTTGGTGACATGACACATATCACATTTTGTTAATAGCTCTGTAAACCTCTTAAGTTAGTGTTAACTTCTCGTAGGGAAAGGAAAGAAACTAAAACTTATGGTTTAGTTACATATACATATTAAGATAGGGCTTTATAACCATGAGGACCTAGTTTTGGTATCCATATTCTCTTAGTTAATTCACCTGTGGTTCCAAAATTGAATTCATTTTTTAGGAGTACTGAGGGCACCTGAACTTCTACTATGTTGTGTGGAATGATTTGAGACCTATTAGAGAAACAGAAGTTTAACTTTTAAACCTCTGAAATGCTTCATCCATTAGCTTAGCACTAAATGTGGGAAATTCAGGCTGGACAGTGGCATGCTTCAACTCATTCATGAATCATGATATCTATAATAAGTTGGTGAATATTTTTTAAAAAATAAAATTGAGCACATAAATATACAGACTGCCTGCCTTGACTATGTCCTATAGCATTTGCAGATTCTGAGTATTTATGACATGAAGTCTTAGGGAAACACAGGCATTGAAGTGGGTTAGAGAAATACATGTCATTACACATGGATATTGAGCCTTATGTAATAAATATAATGTTACTTGTATTATTCTAACAGCTTTTTGTGCCTGAACCTCGTCCAGTTCCTAAAAATGATGTTGGATTTAAATATACTGTGAAACATCGGCCATTTCCTGAAGAGGTGGACAAGATTCCTTTTGTGAAAGCCGATCTGAGCATTCCAGATTTGCATGAAATTGTCACTGAAGAAGTAAGATAAATTGTTTTTAGCTGTTGTTAAGGAAGATGAATACAAAAATTATTCAATGATGTCTGTAGTCAAAATCATTGCTTTCAATGTATAGAAAGTACTTGTAGCAAGTTGAATATAGATTGTGGCTGACTGATTGGAACTAGACCTTTCTGAGAGTCAAGGTCACTGGCTGCCTGGGTTGTTCCATGGTAGATTTCACTAGTGTAGTGACATGATCAGATTTAGTAGTGAAGGATATTTAGAAGGAAGACAAGTTCAGAGAGAATCTTAACAATATAAGCAAGAGAAAAGAAAGTCTACATCAGTGAAATTAAGAGTGTTGTAGAGGTAGATGTAGGTATTTCTTAGGTAAAGGAAGGAAACCAGCCGAAGAATTTTAGATTTTGATCTTTAGTGATGAAGATATATTGGGGATTTAAGAATTGGTGGGTCAAGGTGCGTCAAATGAAAGAACAGGGCAGAAATGGAGAACTACAGTCGCAAATGCTAGAGAGATCCAGGAGAAGGAGGAGTAAGAAAGGGCTCTGGATTTGGAAATGAATTATGCCTGATCACTGAGATCAGGTACAAAGGAATGTAAAATGGGAGACAGAATAAGAGGTTGGGGATTGATTTATATGGGCGAGAAGTATAAATATTAAGCACCCTACTAGAAGTAAAGAGGACAGTAGAAAATAGCATCAGGAAGTAGCGTAGCTGAGGAAAGGCAGTTAGTCTTTTATTTACATTCAAGGATGGGAGAAATAGTAAATGCTTATTGGTTGAATGGAAGGACCTAGTGGAGAGAGGTCAGCTAACACTGAGAATTATAAGTAATAAAGACAGTGGAGTCAAGAGTCAAGGTGATTTTGTTTAGAAAGAGGATACTTATACTAAGATAGGAGAGGATCAGAGAGTAGGTAAAAGTTCAGAGATATTTTGAATGGAAAGAAAGGAAATAGGAAAACCTTACATAAATTTCAGCCTCAGTTCTTATAATGTACAAGAAGATCAATAATAGTTCTTAAAATTATCAGGCAGTCCAGACTAGGTTAGTAGCATCATGTGTGGTAAAGTTGTTTTAACTGACTACTCACTTCAAGTCCTTGGGATCTGAGTGCATAAATAAAGAACTGGAGTGGTGTAGAGTTGACAGGATTAGGAATTTGGGAGGATAAAATTCAACACAGCTGTTTTATGTACATAAGGAGAGGACATTAAGATGTTAGGCTTAGTTAGGAAGCAAAAGAATGCTAATAGCATTTAAAACTAGGAGGGGTTGAGTAGGAGGGCTTTCAGTAATGTGAAGCACAGGCCCAGAGAGTGCAGGAAGAGGATTTAGGATTAGAGAGGAAATTTCAGAGTTACTGCTCTTGATAGTAGGGCACAGGTAAGATTTAAGATGTTTTCAAGATTGGTCATTGTGGTGCAAGTTTATAAACTGAGAGGAAAAGGCATGAGGATTACAAGTTAAAGGATATATATGTAAAGGCCTGGGTTCACTCCTCAGTACTCTACCCCCAGAAAAGGGCTCAGGGTGGTCAGCATTGTGAAGATTGAAGTTGTAGAATTGAGCCAAATTGTTGGAAGGTTTTATAAGGATTATCATTTACCGAAGAATGTAATTTTAAAGAAGATTTGATCAAAGGAAAGAAAAGGATGTGGGAGAGTCTCCAAGAGTACAGTTAGGGAATCCATATGCTAAGGTAGAACTTTATAATATGAAGGGATGCTACAGAGTGAAAGTAAATGGGAATATGCAAGTAGAGGTGGGAGCAATAACTCTTCTACTTTTCTTACCTATATGAAGGGGAGCAAAGACAGATCGCTATCATTTATAGCCAGAAGATGAAGAAGCAGTTGTTGGTGGTATAGGAGTAAGTTCACAAAATTGAAGTTATTTGGTTTATTTCAGTTAGAAGAGAGACATGAAAAATTAAGGAGCGGCATGGCTCAGCAGATTGCTTATGAAATACACCTTGAGCAGCAGAGTGAAGGGGAATTGCAAAAGAGAAGCTTTCCTGACCCCATTACAGATTGCAAACCCCCACCCCCTGCCCAGGAATTCCAAACAGCCCGCCTCTTTCTCTCACACTTTGGATTTTTGTCCTTAGAAGCATTGAAGGTAATTTTCATGAGCAAATATATTCATAAATTAACATGCAGCTGATGATAATTACAATATTTTTATGAGGAGAAAAGTAAATTTTTAATAAAAACCTGGTTGTAGGCCTATCCTTCATGTAAATAAATGAAATTCTGTATTCTTGTGCATTATAAATATAAGGACAGTTTATCCTGTGAATTCATGCTAAGTTCTGTCTAAGGGGACTGTTGTTGATAATATTCAGCCCTGAATTTTCTTGGATAATGCAGAACACATGTTATACATGTAAATGAAATCTATAGATAATTAGGTTAACGTCTTACCCTAGTAAACTTGGTTACTGAAGGTGTGGACTTCAATTGACTCAGCTCTTTCATGATGCTTTAAAAAGAAATGAAGGCATTTCTTTAGTATTTATAAGCCAAACCCTGCTTATGTTGTATAGGAAGATCAGACTACCGAGGTCTGTGTCCTGGCATCCATCACTGCTTGCCAGCTGTGTGGTCTTGGGGTAAATTACTGGCTTTTCCTTATCTATATGGTGAGGATTATAAAAATATCCCTTTCTTCAGTCATGTGAAGAATAACTTTTTTAAGATTCTTCATGTAGTATTTAACAAAAAATAGTATTTGTAAAATAAACATTGATGTTTAAGTTTACTTTTATTTATTTATTTTTGTATTTTAGGGAAGGGTCCACAGGGTATTCAGGGTCTCACACTACTAGATCAGACTCAGAGTGATCCACCTGTTTACAGCCTCCCAAGAGCTAGGATTACAGGCATGCCACCACGCCCACTCTCAATTGCCATCTCAGCGTGCCTCAGGGGCAAGGCCAGCAGGGGCAGGCCTGGGGATTGAACCCCATGTCCCTGTGCCTGCTTGCAGGTACTTTAATCTACTGAGCTATTTGGCTGGCCCTGATATTTCTTAAGTTTAGAACTGACATTTATTATCAATTTGTAATTTTTAAATTTAATTTTTATTAAATTATGAGCAAGTTTTGCTTTGTAAATAACAAGAAATAACAATTGCTCTTTTATTCCTTTGGTGGTAGGAACCTGCAAATAGTCGTCTACCTCCTCATCTTATTGCACTTGATCCCACGATACCTGGGTTTTTTGATGACATTGGTTATCTGGATCTCTTGCCATGTCGTCCTTTTGACACAGTTTTTATTTTCTATATGAAGCCAGGTCAGAAAACAAACCAAGAGGTAAGGATTCTGAATTTTGGGGGGATGACTTTTTGTGGTATTCATATATAAGATTTTACATAAAAGGATTGTCCTTAAGAAGTGAATAATTTATCTGTCTGTGTCTGTCTGTCTATCTATCTAGTACAGGGTCTTACTACACAGATTGAACTTGAGTGATCCTCCTGTTTTTCCAGCCTCCCAAATGCTGGGATTATAGGTGCAGCATGCCCAGTCTCAATCTGCTGTCTCAGCATGCCCTGGGGGCAGGGCCAGCATGGCATGCTGCTGGTCCTTGTGTCTGCCTAAATAGGTGCTTTAATCTGATGAGCTCTCTGGCTGGCCCTAGAAATGAATATTTTATACGTGATGCTTAAATTCTTATGAACCAGTTCAGAAACTGAATTAAAACTGAATTAGTGTCCTAGTCTTGACTCTTAAGGAGTGTGGTTTAGCATAGATCTGTATTACGTCTTTCTTCCGCGTAAGGAATTAATATTTGTGAGACAAATGAAAGTAAATATAGAAAGTACCTGCAGTAAACAAAAATAATACAGAAGAGCTGGGGAGATGGCTCAGTGGAATAAGTGCTTCCTTGGCAAGCGCAAGGGCCTGAGTTCAATCCCCGGTTCCACCAAAAAAAACCAAAACAAAACAAAAGTAATACAGAAGCTTCACCACAAAAAGCTGAAGCTAGGCCTCATTATTCAAGAAGAATAGAATAATTGCTGTGAATATTTACTGAACATCTTCCTACTGGAATATACATGGGAGCAACAGGCTTCCTCTTGACAAGCTCCCTTTGCAAGTACTAATTTCACAAACAAATTGTTTCAGATGAGGCATGCATAGTGTGTAGTTGGAGAAAGAACACTTGAGTTTTTAATTTATTTTTTTATTTTTTTTTCAAAATTTTATTGATAAACAGATAGCAATGAGACAGTTTCAAATCAAATCGGAAGTACAGATTCAACAAAT